TGTGTCTAATTACTGAAGAGACTGGTCATAATGGATAAAATATCTAACTTAATTGAGAAATTCAGTGGAGTAAGTGCAAGGATCCAAAAAGCCTGCAGTTGACCAAGAAGAATATCCTCTTCTCAATCACTTCTGGTTCCAATTTCAAGATGGGACAGACACGGGGCTACGGAGCAAATGAAGAGCCAATGGGGATGAAATATAATCGACACTCAAAGCCGTAGCCACACTCACCTCTTTCACAGATGGGGACAGGAGGATCCCAGCTACCATCATTTTGGCACCGAGTCTCAGAGCTCCCACGCATGATGTAACCAGGCTCACACTGCAACACAGCAACGTCTCCAGGGCCATAGGGAGCCAGTACCCCATTAGATCTGCCATTCTGCAGTTCTGGGCTCACGCATGTCACTGAAAGGGGAAGCGTAACAACTGCTTTAGACTCCAAAGCACACGTGGGACATAATGGACCCTTTATCCACAGAGCACTGGTACAAGTGGATGTGATGCTCCTGCAAATAAAGGAGCTCCTTCTGGCAGCCATGACTTTTGCTCATGTGTTTCACTGGAAGATTAAACATAAGCTGTGAAATCTACTGAATTGGTGGCTCGTCTCAAAGTTTTCTTGGACTCATTTAAATCCTCATGTGTGTCTGACACACAGAGCACAGCAATGGGAAGTATCAAGGAGAACCCAAATGCACCTTTACATTGAAGGAGGAGGTGGCTCCAAGCTCATTTGGATACTGAGCAAAGGAAGATGCAAATGCCCTGCTTTCAGGTTCAAGTAGAGTTACAAGATTTTCCTGCAGGTAGGCCCATTGCTTTTGTCCCCCTGGGTGATTTCTCACAGCTATCATAGTTCTTCCACTATGGGTGGTCCCAGTAAACTTCCCCACATCTTCCAGCCCCCTGCCTTGAGGCCCTGAGCCTCCAACCCCCTGCACTAAGACCTCTCCACCTTCCAGTCCTCTGCCCTGACTCCTGCACTGCCACACTTTGGCCTGAGCCCCCCACACCCAACCCCCTGCTCTGAGCCTTCCTAAGCCTCCCAGCCTCCTGCCCTAACTCCTGAACCCCACTCCCTGCCCCAAGCCCCCCAAGCCCTACCCTGAGTCTAGCACCACTGCGCTGAGCTCCCCACATTTCTCAGACCCTTGACCTGTCTGCTCACTTCCACCCCCTGCTCTGAGCACCCGCACTCCATCCAGCCCCCGTTCTGACACCTACCCACACCTTCTGCCCTGCATCCTATCCTGCCCTGACTTCTGCACCCTCCAACTCCTGCTCTGAGCACCCCCCAACCCAACCTCCTGTCCTGACATTCCATGGGTGAACACTGCTAAGGCCTGGTTGCTGGGTTTCCAGTTGCCAATGTTTAGAGGAGAGGTGTAATGCCATACCACAGGGAAGGTAGAGCTGAACCAGAGGTCATGTTAGCCAATATATAGGAGGGAAAAGATTCACATGGTTGATCTGACCCTAACAGCAGTGAGGCTAATGCAGACTGGGGTAGAGTTCCCTACCTCCATCGCATTCACATTCCCACAAACAGCCTTATAGCTTGACATGGTTCCTGATACCACCGACACATTCCCAGCCATCTTAGGAAGGCTACAAGAGCTACTTCTCCTGTTTATTTAGTGTTTACAGTAGAAATACTGCCACTTCAGGACTTCTGATTTGAAGGTCCAAGCCAACCAGAGATCTTGTTCAGAGAGCAGGGCTGGTCACCATCCAGCTCTTCCGGGATCTATTTGGAGAGTGGAAAAGCCCAGGCACTATGGAGATGCACTTTGCATAGACTAGGACAGCTGGAGCTGGTATTTGCTTTTCCCTTCCAGATCCCATTACAAGTCCCACAGTCTGTAGAAAAGAGCCTGATTGTAAGAAAAGTGTCAAGGGCAGAAAAAGAGGGATGGAAAAAAGGGTTTCCTATTGCCGATGGGTGGAGGGGAGGGGCAATGCAACACTGAAAGGAACGAAGCAGAGCTCGTGAAGTCTAATCTATAGGAGGGAATACACAATACAGTTAGCTTCCTCCATTCCTCTCCACTTCATTCACATCCCCCTGTAACGGGGTACACTCACCGCCACAGTGCCACTAGCAGTCGGTCCTAGGAATTAGCTCGGACGGCAGGAGGCGGGATCCTTCTCGGGACACTGCCCTCTGGCAGTGCCCACAACAGTCTGAGTTCCCCCCTTCCGGGGGTGGGTTTTAGGCCGGTTGGCCTACAGGAGGGGTTCCTCCGCCTCCGGGTCACTGGGCGATACGCCTGTCCCACTGCGCAGCCCCTGTCAATTGTCCCCAGGTCTCTAGTCCCACCGCCAGGCCTTGCCCCAGACGCGTAGAAGGGATCAATAGTTCACGGCCCCGGCCCTGCTTCAGGTCCGGGGTTGGAGTCAATAGTTCACGTGCCAGCCTTGCTTCAGGTCCAGGCCACGGGGGGAAGAAGCCTTATATAGACTCACGTCTCTCAGCTCACAGTTCCGGGCAGGGCAGCAGTCCCAGTCCTGCCCCTTTAAGAGGTCCGGCCTCGATCGTGGCTAGGTTCCAAAGCACAATCTGTAAACCCGAGCCCTTGAGCGGGGCAGGGCACCAAACACAAGAAACAAGCCCTGGCCCTGGAGCAGGGTGAGGCAACAAACACCCAGGTTTGAGGAAGCTCCTGGTTCAGGAGCAGGGCAGGCAGCGCACCTGCAGCAGTGGTGAGGGGGAGACTGCCATCCAGTAGGTGGGTGGAAGGGGCCACAGGCCCACGCACTCCACTGCGCCCCGGCCCAGGGGCCCTGGATGCAGCAGTTTAGCTGCTACTGGCTCAGCAGGGGCTCCAGCCAGCAACATCCTGGCCTTGGGCTGCTATCAGCCCATGCTACCCCCTGGGTCACTCCTCGTCTCCCCTTTCGTGGGTACCTGTGTCTCCAGCAGGTCAGTCAGGGAGTCACAGGTAGTGTTGTCCCAGCAGGGTTGGGGTGGCCCAATCCAGGCTTCGATGGGTTGGAGCTCTGCAGCGTCCAGCTGGTTTGTCAGGCCCCGGGGTTCAGGCAGGCATAGGGGTTCCAACCAGTCTACCGGCTCCAACAAGCCCTCAGGGTCCAGGCGTTTCCGCAGGCCTCGGGGCTTGAGCAGGACCTCAAGCTCAGGCCAGTCCTCTGAATCCCCAGGCACCATCAGAGGATAGCTCTGCTGGCTGGCTGGCTTGGCCAGACCTCAGTGGCCCTGGCAGGGAAGTCTTTGCTGGCCTGAGGGAAGGCAGCTGTGGGAGACCCAGGCCAGGTCTCAGCCTCCTCGGCCAGGAGCTCTGGACAGGTCTCTATCTCCCTCAGAGGCTGGGCCCCGACTGTGCTCCCTGGCGCAAATCTTATAGTCCTAGCCACGTCCCCTGGCTTCCCATCAGGTGACTGGGAGGGGCTACGCTGGGCCCAAAATGGCTCCCAGAGGGGTTCCTCTGCCTCCAGCTCAGTGGGTGGCCACTCTGCCCCACTATACACCTCTAATACTCTGTGATGAATGGGCGTTTTGCTACCCTTTTCTGGACATCGTAGAATCACTGAATCCTGACATACTAACCTTTTCTGAACGTCCCAGCTATTCACTTAACTAAATAGCCCATAAGGGTTAAATCCACAGACTCTGGGTCCTAGACAGTCCCCAAGAATGCTAGGGAAGCAGGAAGTATTTGCAGGTAGCCAGGAGAGCCAATGAAAACAGAGTGTGGGTTTTTAAACTGGAAGCAGTGATCCTCCCATGGCAGTGTTTGTGAGACTAGTGCAGAACTGGGAGACATGGGGGCAAGTGGATATTTGTATTTTCCCTAATCACAGCTGAAAACTGACCCCAGGAGGACAAAGAGTGCAAAATACAAATCTGTAAGTTACTGATGAGCCAACAGTATGCTCTCGTTCACTCAAATCATTATGTGATCCATAGGCAATATTTGGTGGTGGAGGACAAGGTATTTCTGAAGCAAAGAATGTAATCAAGAAAATTTAAGTTTACACTGAAGATAAACTGAAGAGTATTCACTAAGAAAGTTGTCTCAGATTCACTCCAAATGCTATTTAACCATTCGAAAGCACATTTAACATTGCATTTGAACAACATTCGAAGCATGACTTCTGCTAGATTCTAAAGGTTTTCTGCTTTTAGGCTTGACCCAGCCCTGCACATCCAATGCTCAAGGAGGATGTTTCATACAACATCAGCTTTGGAGGATGGCCTTAACAGAATATGACCTTTCCCAAAATTAGCCTCAGGGAGCCACAATTTCTTGCCCAGCATCTCTGGAAGTAGTATTATTCCACCAGCAGAAAACTAAACTAGGGCATTTCTTATATCATAGCAGATTACAAAAGAGTGGACGTCAGCAGAACAAGAGACTGACCAAGTCCAGAAAGCACCGCAGTACGATTTCATTCCTCTCTCCAAGCAAACACACTCAAAACTTTTACTGTCATTTGGATTAAATGCTAGAGTAAGAATGTACTGACTCCTCTGTAGCACCAGCTATGCTGCCCCATTTCCAGATATGAACTATTCTTAAAATCATTAGTTTACCTTGGCAATGTGGAACCTTCGCACTCCAGTCACTTACATTTCCCACAATTACACACTGTGCAAAAGTTGGTCCAATTAATCTGTACCTAGAGAAAAAGGTTCCAGTTTGTTACTCAAGTAAGCAAAGAACTAGTAAACAGTCTGGCAAGATGGAACATGGTTTCTTTCTGCCAAGAGGCTGAGACAAACCATTGAAAAAAGGTTACATCTCACACCAAGGCCAGGTCTACACTACACACCTTGGTGAGTGTAATTTCGTTGCTTCCATCTCCATGAGGAACAGTTATACTGGCCTAACCTCCTATGTAGATAGCGCTGTGTTAACAGCAGAACTTCTCCCCCAACAAGCTATCATCTCTTGGAGAAATGGATTAGCTATGCTGATGGAGTGGCTCTCCCATTGTTAGAGAAGCATGTTCATACACAACCATAAGGTGGCAGGTGCACTGCTGCATGTGATAGCCAAGCCCTGTGTAGTTTAAAGGTAATAAAGAGCTACAGACCAGGGGATCTAGCTCCCAAAAATGTTCACAAATGCTTATCAGATGCTTGAGAATATTTTTTAGTTCTTGCAAAGAGATTTGTGCACTCCTTTCTCCAACAAGTGAAGGAAGACCTCATCACCTTTGCAACAGAACTCTTCAAATGGCCAGAAAACTAGTTATTTTACAGGCCGCTGCTCACAGTGCTTTCCCAAAGGGGTTTGGGTTTGCTGAATAAGCAGCTCTCCCATCCTCTGTTTTTAACATTTTAGGAGGAAACGTTTGAGCTGCCAGCATTCTACACCTTAGAATTATCATGCTTTCCTAAGTAAAATCCTGCCATAGGAAGAAAGGGTAAAAACTGGTCAGGAACAATTTCAGGCAGCAAATCAGAAGATTTCTAACCAACAGAAGGTCCAGGAACAGTCAACCAGCAGTAGTTAGTTGTAAGGGCTACCAAATAAATGAGAGAGAGAGCTGGACAAGTTCATAAGAGCAGCTCTAGGAAGGGGCTTCTAGCGATGGGAAGGCTCAGCAACCCTGGGGTTTGTTTTCTGCTTATACATCATATTTCTAAAGGCTTACACTTTGAGATCTCAGCCAGTTACCTGCGACAATAGGAAGGGACTTCCCACCCAATGTATTCTGAGCTGGTTTCCTTTATCTCCTTTTTTTAACCATTGGGGATGGCCATGGTTGAAGATACGATACTGGATGGGGTAGGCCAGGACTCTGAGGTGGCACCAAGCACTCTCACCACAGTGCTTGGCTTGTTGACAGCTTTTGCTTACAACATCCTTTGGCTCTAGTATGGAGGGTTGGTGAGAAATTCCCCCAGGACAGATTGAAGGGACTTTGGGGAGGGAGAGGAGGCAGGAGAGGTTTGCCCTCCTCTGTAACATGAGAGTCCAAGACATTTGCCAGGATTACCTCCATATATCTAATTTCATCGTTTCCTCGCCATGACAGCAGCCTGAGGAATTTCTGCATCTCAACGCCTCCTATTCTCGGACCACAGCCCATTAAAGGTCTAATCTCCTGTGGGCTGTAATATTTTGGACTAATTTTAGTTGAGTTTACTATATGGTTGACTGTTACTGCTGGTTGACTGTTCCTGAGCAGAGTTGGTGGCCTGTTACATACAAGAGGTCAGATTGGTGATCTGTTGGTCCCTTCCTGCCTTATACTCTGAGACCTCAGTTGAATGAAGCCATAAACTATTGATTTCACAAGGTCTGTCCTGTGGACAAAACAACAACTGCACTTGATGCTATCCTGGGTAATACTGACATCCAGGAGAGACAAAGTTTTGCTTTTGTGGACCAGAAAGAGGTCTGCTTCTATCTGGTGCTGCATCTTAAGGGGGCAACATTCTGCCATTAGCTCCCATCACTCAGACAGAAACCTCTATAACAAGAGATGGCATGAGTCAGAAAGTGCCACATTACCTACAGGATAGCATTCTCTCTCTCTCTCTCTCTCTCTCTCTCTCTCTCTCATGACCCAACACTTGCAGAAAGATGTCCTCTAAGGGCCCCTGGCTGGAATATTCAATAAGCATGAGTGAGTTAGGTGCCCAACTCTCACTGAATGAAAACTGTAGCTAGTTGGCTCACTTCCTTCAACTCCTTTGATAATAACAAGCATAATTCTTAACAAGGATCCAGCCCACGGCTACAGATTTATAACACAGCACTAATTTATGTTCTTAAAGTTAAAGTAAGCTTTCTAGTCTCATTTTGCCAGTCTTCACCAGAAGTTTTACATCAGTCTAGATTCTGTCAATTAGTCAAAAGCAGCAACTTGCCACTCACCCTTCATCACAGGAGAAGTTTGCTGTTGCACCAGATTGAAGATCAATGAAATCAACCCTTCCATGCTCTATTTCCGGGGCTTTACATTGTCTTCCTAAAAAAGAACAAGACTAATATAACCTCATACTACCTTAATAGGGAAAAATGGGATAACTTGCACCTCTTAACATAATAAATACTATAGCCCATCAAAGCCTATGGTATGTATACTATCAGTATCTATCCAGAGGTTAGCACTAAAGGCTACAGAGGAGAGCTTAACATCCACATTAAGGATAATTTTGTAATATGCCTTGGGATAAGTGAAGTGAAGTGGAAAAGGGATGATTGCTTGCTAATCCCACACAGACAGTGATTGTGTTATATCCTGAAACAAAAGAAGTAAGATCCCCTTGTGGATTTAGTGTAAGTGCAAATATTCATATTGTATACATAAATACCCAGATTCTGAAAACTCATGCGCATAACTTCTTTCGAGTAGGAAGTAGGGATATAAACGACTAGTTGACTATTCGATAAGCAAAAGTTTATCATAATCGACTAGCGACTCAACTAGTCACTTCCCCCCTTTGCTGCCTCTATCAGAAAGAGGAAGCAAGGGGCGGGGGGGGAGGAGAGCAGGAGCTAGTGCTCTTGGGAGCAGGCTCAAAAGCCCGCTTCCCTCTAGCACAGTCTCTGTGGGGAGAAGGGGCAGGGGCACAGCGGAGAACTAGCAGCACTTCTGCCTTTCAAATGTAGCAAGAGGATTCTTGCTATGTTTCAAAAGCAGCAGCACTGTGGGGAGCCTGGGGACTCAACCAGTCCCCGCTAGCCCCTCGCTCTCTGCTTTTGAAATAAACAAGAACACTGGGGCTCACTCCCTCTGCCTCTTCAAGGCTGCACCAGGGAGTAGCTTCTGGGTGGAATGCACAGTCTCCCCCCCCCTCCCGCAAGGACCATATCCCTTGGGAGCAGCCACCAGGCATGACAACCCCCCACCTTGCACCTTCCCAGGACTAAAGAACGGGTGCTCCCATCTCCTTCTGTTAGTCTCCCACACTCTTCCCTAAGCCTCCCCCCACCTCCCAGCATTGCCAAGTCTTTCAAGGCAGTGGTCTGGTGGGGTGCAGGAACTGGGGCAGTACTGGGGGAGGGGGTGAGAGAAATGCAGGACACTGGAGGGTGGGGGGAGTGTTGCAACTCTGGTCCAAATTAAACTATGTTTCTATCAGTCTCTGCGGGCTAGCCGTGTATCCTGTAACTTTAAAAACCGGTGAGTAGCTGTTTTTAATGTTTCTACCCCCTATGGCCCCTTTTTGCCATGGAGGACGCCAGACGCACTTTAAAGATTACGTGGGGCACAAGATGCAGGACACTGGAGGGTGGGGGGAGTGTTGCAACTCTGGTCCAAATTAAACTATGTTTCTATCAGTCTCTGCGGGCTAGCCGTGTATCCTGTAACTTTAAAAACCGGTGAGTAGCTGTTTTTAATGTTTCTACCCCCTATGGCCCCTTTTTGCCATGGAGGACGCCAGACGCACTTTAAAGATTACGTGGGGCACAAGAACTTGCCCCTCTCCCAGCGCCCCCCCCCCAACCAGACAGCAAGGGCTGGTTTCCAGCGGACCGTACCCCTAACTCATTACCAAGGGCCCTCTGTAGCCCTGGCCGCCAGACTCGGGTAGGACCCAGCGCTATGTCAGTGGGCAGCCACC